CTGGGGGTAGCTGATTCCACAGGGTCGGAGCAGCCACAGAGAAGGCCCTCCTCCGAGGCCCCGCCAGCCGATACTGTCCAGCTTATGGCGTCCTAAGGAGGCCCACCCTGTGGGATCTTATCGGCCGTTGGGAGGTATGTGGCAGTAGGCGGTCTCGCAAATACGCTGGTCCTGAGCGATGTAGGGCTTTAAAGGTAATGACCAACACCTTGAATTGCGTTCAGAGACCAATTGGCAGCCAGTGCAGCTCGCGGAGGATAGGTGTAATATGGGTGTATCTCGGTACACCCAATATCGTTTGTCTTTTGATTTCTTGAAACTTAGGAGACTATGGAACTTCAGTTTCAACCAACAATAAGCACATTTATGTATGAAGCAACTAAGTAACTACATTAATCTGAACAGAAGAGTTAGAAAGCACTCTTAGAATCACCATTCACAGTACTAATAAAAATGCAACTCTCTCCAGCTTTTTAAACCAGCTTGAAATACTGCTCTCAAATCCTAGTAAAACAACCAACAAGAATTGTGTTGTTTAACCAGTGTCCTAAGCCAGAAAACCAAGCAGCATGTCAGCTGAAACGATTACGATAATGACGTTGACACTATTATAAAATAATTACATATTACAATTTACGTTGTACAATGTAGATCCATAGAACCAGAGCAGAAACTCAAAATGCTAGGAGAGTACAGGGAGTATGCATGCAACCAGGAATGTTACATATGCACACATAAAGCTGCAATCATATTGCTCTAAAAGAATGCAATCTTCTTTCCCCCTCGAAGTATTGGGAGGGGAGGAGGAATACAATAGCAGAAACATGTTGTTGAGAGCAGGTGACTAGGCAGGAGATATAAATAATGAAAGCATGAAATGGAGGCAGCTGACGGAAGAATCGCTGCCTCCTTGGGTGGTTACGTTGACTAGTCCTGCCTTCCCTGATGCCCTCCACATGCAGTGAGTGAGGGTACCTGTAATGGAGAGCGTCCTCTACCCATGGAGAGTCTCTACATGCAGATTCAGAGAGGGGGAAAAAAATCTTCAGAGAGTCTCCAGGGTCAGAAGGCTCTCCACTGCAGACCCTGATCCTCTACACGTGGAAGGGAATGGAAGAGTATGAGAAGAGAATGAGGTAGCATGCTGATTGAACAGGACTAGAAATTTTAAAAAATACTCACCTGGGAATAAGAGCCAATGAACTAAATGGGATTTTCTACAGAGAAAGCATGCATAGATTTCCATGTGCTTGCAGCCCAGCACAAAGACTATCAACCTGTTTCCTTGTGGCAAACAGAAGGGAAAAAAAACACAACTCAATACCCCAAGGATCTCTTCTCCAGTTCGTATCTTAATTACATGGAGTAAGCTGGGATAAATAGACCCATCTCCAGCATAGTAACAGACTATGCATATATCCCTGGAGGTAAGAGCCACTAAACATGGATGGGTCTTGCTACGAAGAATATGTGCCCACACCGAGCTAACATTTTTGCAGTCTCTCTCTTACTGCTGTGGGTCTGGGAGAGGTATCATCAGTACAGGCAGTCCTTGACTTTTGTTTATAGTGACCGTTGAAAGTTACAACGGCATTGAAAAAAAGTGAACAACGACCATTTTTCAGACTTACAACTATTGCAGCATCCCCATGGTCACGTGATTTACATTTGGATGCTTGGCAACCGGTTCATATTTATGACAACTCTTGGCTTCCGGGGTTCACGTGATCACCTTTTGCAACCTTCTGACAAGCAAAGTCAATGGGGAACCCCAATTCACTAAACAACCGCGTTACTGATTGAACAACTGCAGTGGGGGGTCACTTAACAACTGTGGCAAGGAAAGTCGTAAAAGGGGGCAGAACTTGCTTAACCAATTTCTCACTTAGCAACCTAAATTTGGAGCTCAATTGTGATCGTAAGTTGAGGACCACCTATACACCAATGATACCCAACTATGTATCTCTGCCCCTGGTGAATTAAGTGCTGTGAGGCTTTTAACGTCTTATCCTGGTGTCTGGAAGCTGAGAGTGTCTGGATAGGGAATAAAAGGTTTCAGCTGAACCTTGGCAAGATTGAGTGCCCTTGAGTTCTGGGGCCCACCAGTTTTACAATTACACTGGTACACAAACTTGGGGAGGGGGGATCCTGGACTCACAACTCCTGCTCCAAAATCAGGTAGCAGTGGTGGCTAGGAGGGCCTTTGCACAGCTTCATGTTGTGTGCCAGTTGTTGCCAAAATTCCTAAATCAGGGCCTCTGTTCACAATCATAATCACCTCCCAACTGGATTACTATACTGAGATGAACATGGGGCTGTGAGATGGGTGGTCATGTAAATTTGATAAAGCAAATTTATCAAACGCACAAACAGACACAATAGGACTTGCTACAACATCGTGAGCCATCAACAATTTTTGCAATCTCTTTTACTGATGTGAATGTGTATTACAGCATTCGTGTAAGAGAAATTATTTTTTAAAAGCATAATTCCTATGTAATGTGTAGATAGGACATTAACTAATTCACAACTGGGTGCCTTATAATCCATTTAATATTATCTTTTCCTCTCTTTGGTGTATGTAGCCTCTGGGTCAGTATGAACTCACTAGGGTGTCCCATACACATATATGTTGTTGGGGAGGGGGGACTCCTCCAGACTGATTGAGTGGAAATTAGCAACAATGGCCCACAGGAAAGATGGAAATTATACTCATTTTTTTTCCTGATTTTTATATAATCCTCTTTTCTTTGGGAGATATCATCAGGTAAACATAACTATAACATTGTCCATAGCAAAATCTATGAAGCTTAAAATATTTATTTATGCAGGCTGTTCTAAAGATTACATAGATTATTATAAGTGCTCAAAGTTAGCACAGTTCCCAAATTCAGCTATAATTAGATTTGCAGGTGTATTCAGAAGAAATTCCCATTCAGTTCAGTGAGATAGTATATATATATAGATAGCTTAAAGAAGCTGTGATTATTCAAATTGGCATAATTAAGCCCTATACTATTTACATAATTTTGATTTTATGTAAAATGTAAAAAAAAATCCCATTGATGATTTTGATTGGATGATGCTCATAACATCTGAAGTACTCACAAGTACAAACATCAAATTAAAGTACCTATAACAATACTACAGGCTTACTAAAGGAAATAGTTTTCAGTCAGGTAATCTAAAATACGCATTACAAGATAGAAATCTACAGAACTTGTTAAGAAAAATGCAAACACATTTCTCAGCAGGGTCGTCTTTCCCATGTTCCGCTTTTACTTACGGTGACAATCTTACCTGACTAGCAAGAGAAAGTATAAATGCCCAGTCTTCCTGCCATTGTTCTTCTCGCAGTGAGAAATGTAAACCAAAGCTTTGAGAATACCATGACTCCCATTCTTTCCATCGGGTATAGAACCTATAAAAAAGTATGTGTGTAACAGTTTATTTCATCTTACCCAATCACACAGGCTTTCTCCAGAATTTGGGCTACTTAATCGATGATTTGACGGGAAGATGAAGAGAGTACGAATTAGTATTTCTTACTGCAATAGTTAGCCAACATCTCTCTTGGCACACACACGTACACACACACATACTTAGAGAGAGGGAGAGAGACAGAGAGAGATGGACCTTGGTACTCATCATTAATTGCTTCCAGGAGGTGCAATGAGTATCAAAAACGATGAGTACCAAACAAACCTTTCCCATAAGGAATAATGTAAGTGAGTCACAAGGCAGCCAACACTGACAAATCCTAGTTTGTGCGTTGAGTACAAAACAAACGATGAGTATTGGGACAAATTTTTCACATCAAAATGTACTGAGTAACAAAGTTGATGAGTTTCAAAGCAATTGAGTACCAAAGTACCACTGTATGTATGTATATATTTATGCATGTATGTATATATGTATGTATGAGAGAGAAGGGGGGGAGAGGGAGGGAGGGAGAGAGAGAGAGCTAAAGAGAGGGGAGGGAGGGAGGGAGGGAGAGACAACTATGCAAAGGCTTGGATTCATTTAAGAAAATCGGCTTCTGAATATACAGGAATGCCACAAGCATCTATCTGCACTTATTAAAGCACTTACATCCATTTTCAGGATTGTGTGAATCATCCTTTCCTACCTGAATCTGAATTATCAACTGATCATTTTTCACCATTTTTGCAACAATCATTTCCCTAATAGATTAATAGATGACTTTCCAAAAATAATTCTTATATGTATGTGATCTAATGTCTAAAACTGCAAATAGTTATGAGTTTTTATTCTTATTTTCTTCCATCATGTATGGCTTACTACTTTATTGTGCATGCTCAGACAACAACTATACATTTTAGAAGTAATATTTTAACATGAATAGATGATGGATGGATGGATGGCCAGACAGATGACCAGATGGATGGATGGATGAAAGACTGCAGATAATTGATTAGTCGTAGCACCATATCAAAATATAAAACAAAAATAAAATTCAGAATCTAATCTCAGCGTAAGATATATATATAAAAGAAAATGCAGCAATAAAATACATATGCGGAAAATATGAATCAACAAATACATCACCTTGACAACTTATCCCAATACATTCGATATAACAGGCTCTTAACTCAACTGCCTTAACTATAAACTTAGCAGTTCTGTTCCCGATGTATAGATTAGAACCCGGGAGACAGTAGGACAATCTGTAATTCCGACCCGAATGGACTGTTTTTTTTTTCAAGTAGGAATGTTAACTATCTTAAGTCTAAGAAGGGTATATAACTGACAATCAAACAAAACTTAAGCAATGTCTTCAATTGCTGGGGTACTGCATATACTGGGTATAACACTGGTTCTCTATGCCTACTTTTCAATGAGCCAGGATAATTTTCCCAACTCATGGTGTTTTCAGGACTACTCCTAGGGGTTAGCCAAATGGCCAATGCTGGAAGTTCTCCAAGTTAAATCCACACTTCTAGTGATAAGGTCAAAGGTATCACAGCAAAAACATAAATGTGATCAGATGTATGAATAACTACTTCAGATAAATCCCATTGGACCATCAGTTGACTAATTAAATGTCACTTTATATAGACACAACTTATTATTTGTATAAATTGCAAGCTTTTTCCGAGTTTCAATGTTTTTCGATAGAGTAAGGTTGCAAAAGAATGCTGCTATTGCTGTAAAGCAGTGTTTCTCAACCTTGGCAACTTGAAGAAGTCTGGACTTCAACTCCCAGAATTCCCCAGCCAGCATTCGCTGGCTGGGGAATTCTAGGAGTTGAAGTCTGGACATCTTCAAGTTACCAAGGTTGAGAAACACTGTCTTAGAAGGAACTTTAGAATAGAAGAATTTTAAAGTAGGTTAAATTTTTATTGGAGTTTCCATTCTTTATTTGTTTAGAATAATG